GTTCATCAACTTCTCATATTGGAACACCTACCCCAACAACAGGAACTCAAAATACAGAAACCACACCAAATACAGAAAGAATCACCAAAACACCGTACATAGGGACACCTACCCCAACAACAGGAACTCAAAATACAGAAACCACACCAAATACAGAAATAATCACCACAACACCGTACATAGGGACACCTACCCCAACTATGGGAACTGAAAAAACCACAACACCTCATACAGAAACTGTCACGGCAACAACAGGCGCTAAAACACAAACTATTATAACCCAAAAACTTACCACCATACCTTACACCAGTACACTCAAAACTGAAACCTCAGGTATTACAGAAACCTACACCACAATCATCACTGAAAAACAGACAACACCTGGAAGCCCAATTCCTACAACCGTTGTTAAAACAACAGAGAGACCTACAACAACTTTGTGCTCCTGCAAATACATGAATCAGACCTTCTCACCTGGTAAGTTGCAGGCTTTTGTCACTACTCTTTCATAAAGATATTTGAGCCTTGAGAGTAGATTTTAATTGATAGATGTTATTGTAGTTAAACACTGTCAAAAATTTATTCATGAGAAGTCATCCTAGCTTACCAGTACACTTCTTAACTGATGAAGAGCTGTTTTCGATTAGTTTTACTTTATTTTGTAAGGTTAACAACTTGAGAAAACATTTCCCTAAAAATCCTGATTCCTTCTTTTTCACTGGCATCATGCATTAATGGTATCCCATGATTTTGTTTTAACCATAATTTAGGTAGCATAATGTACAACGAGACTGATGGAGGCGGGTGGTGTTTCACTGCATATTGCAGTTTGGAATGCAATGTGGATAAGCATGCCAGACAATGTCACACAACAACTCCACCAAGTCCTCTGGTTACTACAACAGGCTCATCCACAACACCTACAACGAGGGATTGCTCATTTCTTACACCACCTAGAGAGGTAACACGACTTGTATGGGAGAATTATCCTGCCATTATGCAAGAGTACATAATTTCAATTTCAAGAATTTCATCTTCTTGCACTCAATACTTATAATGCTCACACTCAAAACATGCGCTCTCTCTCAAATATTTTCTCTTCTCTCTCAAATCTTTGTTTCTTCTCTCAGATTTAATGCTTCTTGGACAGATATTTTCTCCTCTCGCTTGCCTCCTTCTCTTCGCGCACAAACCGCGCTCTGCACAAGTCTCAAATACGCTCGCAAACCCGTAGGCTCTGCTTGCGGATTTTTTTTGCTCTCTCTCGGATTGCAGAAACCGCGCTGACAATGGTCAGAGCAGGGTAACAAAGATAACTGTTGAGTGTGAATGGAACGCAACTGAACTGGACCGTGACAGAAACGACCGAACCGCGCTAACATGGTACTAGTTCATCAGTAGGGCTCTGTGCGGTTCATCTGTGGCTCGGTGTTCTGATTACAAAGAGCGCATGAGCAGACCGCCTCATCTCCTATTTACAGTCAGCTGACTCATGTCGCAGGTTTTCTGGCTTTGCAATCCACAGATCTCTTCACCTTCACTATGTTGTGCCATATGCCATGATCATACTTTTTGGACATTGGGAACCAGTGTCCATATTTCATCATGGCATATGGCAAAACAACAACACAAACTTCTTCTCAGCCTATTAACAATAAATGGCGTCAAAAGAGCGGGAGGATGCCGAGGCCGAGGCTCTCATTGAAATTTGGGCGGAGGACACTCTCCAGGCACAAAGGTTTCTGAATATTCTGGGCGTTGCCATTTTTGTTTGCGTTTTTTGCCCTCTCCACTTAAAAACAAAACGTAACTCCTCCACCACACGTTGCCTACACCATCTTTGTTATTAGTCGCCGCTGTCGGGTAGCAACAGCCTATGGTGACAGCGGGCCACTGTGACAGCACATCCCATAATGCTTTGCGAGTAGAGCTCTCGACGCAAAGCATTGTGGGATATATCTGCCTCTTCTGAGGCCTTTTTTTTCTTCTCTTACACTTTGTAGACACTTTTTCTCTTCCGACCCTTTTCACAGCCATTTTGAAAGAACCGTGGTGAGAAAGGTGAGCTTCAATGACTGTCTGAAACCGTAGCTCACCACAGATATACGCCTGAAAGTACGCAGAATAAGATAGCGAACGGGGACGAGCACGTAGGCCTTACGTAAACATATCACCAGAATAATTGAACGTGAACTGAACTGACTGAACTATTTTGTCTTTCTTTTTTCTGTCTTAATGTTGGCAGTGGGCTTTAGGCTGCCCTGCAAGGCTTTAAACCTGGGTTTAACCGGAGACTAAGCCATTCTAAAGCACATATCAAGGAGCTCATTTTGAGCCTGGATCCAGATTTATTGTTGATTCTGTTCATGGTGGAGAATCCTGCTTCACAGCAGCAGGTTGAGCCAAACATCCTCTAAATGTGCAGGGTCATCTTTGAGCACGCCATTTCACTTTTCTTTCACCAGTTCACCGCAGTTCTTCCAGCAGTCCACACTTTCTCTGCTCTCTTTTTCTCATGGTCTTCTCCTTCTTTCCCATCGCCTGGCTTGCCACAGGTTTGCCTGCTGTGTCTAAAAGTAGCAGCAGCAGCAACCCAGACTGACAGCTCATTGGCTCATTTGGATCCGGAGGGCTTTACCGTATTAACAGGAGAAGCAGCGCAAGTGAAATTAGACACTGTCGTTGGACAACATACAGTAATTTATAAATGTTTTAAATAAGGTTGGGTCCGGACTAGCCAGCATGTAGGTCCGGATCAGGACCGCGGTCCACTAATCCGTGACCTCTGGTCTATACCTTTAACTGATCCAAGCTCGGTCCGAACTCGGTACGGATCAGTAATTGGGCAATAGCTAAATATTAGGACTTTTCACATAACAAAAAGCAATCTATGTATGGTTTGTTCTTTGATGTTTAAAAAAAATGTCTAAAAAGTAATTAACTGTTTTTTTTTTGTTTTTTTTATTGTTCTTATTATTGAACTTTCTAAATCCATAAACAAGTGAAGTGAAGCCAGTGTTGCTTCAACACCTGATTAGCGCCACGTTTCCAGATTAAATTACTCATCAAAGATATTAACAATAAAAAAAAACTGTAACTATAAAAAAAATATGTGGAGGAATTGTGGAGTTTGTCACCAAACTTAGAGTCAAGGAAAAACATGGAAACTATTAATACCAAACACCTGTAGTGTTTTTTAACATAAAATGAAATGCTTGTTTCATAATAGACTAAAATATACTTTGTTTTGCAGAATGGTGAATCATGGAGTCCAGACAAATGCACCAGTAGCACCTGTAAGGAAGGCAAAGTGATTACAGAACACACACCATGTAAAACACCATCTAAACCAGTTTGTGAAAATGGTAACCCACCTGTTAAGATTTATGATGAAGACGGCTGTTGTTTTCAGTACGAATGCAAATGTGAGTTTGTTTAAAAGATTTTACAATAGGCTTCTTTTTTTCCTGCTGTAAAAAACACCCTGTAATGTTAAAACGATGTTTGCAGGTGTTTGCTCTGGCTGGGGAGATCCTCATTACAACACATTTGATGGACAATATTACAGTTTCCAGGAGAACTGCACATACGTCCTGGTCAAAGAGATAAAGCCCAAATACAATTTAACAATTCTCATTGACAATGAAAACTGCGATCCTTCTGGAACGGTGACCTGCCCTAAAGCTTTGATTGTATATTATAAAAATTATAAAGTGACTCTTACACAAATAAGACATCCAAAAACTGTGAACAAGGTTTGTATGTCTGCAGCAGATTAAATTTAAAAAAATGCATCAACTTCACAATCATGTTTTTTTCCTCTTTAGTTGTTGATTAATGATGAGGAGGTGACTCCAACCTACTCAAATGAAGACTTCATCATTACATCCTCAAGAATTGAGCTGCTCATGAAAATCCCAAAGATTGAAGCCGTGATCACATTTAGAGGGCTTTTATTTAGTGTTGACTTGCCATTTTCACTTTTCCACGACAACACAGAGGGACAATGTGGTAAGCTTATCTTTCAACTTGAAAAAATTAGATTAATATAAAACATTAAAAAACTGTTCAGTTAAAATATAACGGCACTGTTTTCGGTAGAAATGAACAACCATACATTTTGTTGGTAATGTATGATGCTTTAATGTCACAAACGAATGGAATACCTGGAGAAAAATGAGGCTTTTAACTACACAATTAGCCAAGCGATTCAACATCCATAGCAACACGACTCCTTTATTCTGAATACTTGAAAAACATTTAGGAACTAGAGTTGAACATGACTTGAGTATGGAAAACCTAAGGTTGCATAAAATCACAATAAAGAGAACAAAACTACTTAAAAACAAACTGGATACAAAGATGCAGTGATAACATTTCTGTTTTGGTGTCAATAAAAATCCAAGCCATAAATGATAAACCATTTAAACACATTTTTCATCTTTAATGTGTCATACGGTAGCATCCATTCAAAATGGCACTTCCCAGTCAAATGGCAGCCGAATGGCAGCAAAAAAAAAAAGGAAGAATCAATAAGCCTAAAGTCTTAGAAATTGTACGTTTAGTTTGGTTAAATTGTCTGAACTGTCATGTTGGGTTCAAGGCGTCTAACCCACATGCAGAAACACACTTAGAGTTCAAAGGGTTTATTTACAATATGTACAATGATAGAATGATGAACTGGTTCTGGTTCTTCGGACTGGTCACGGGGAATCACCACTGAGGAGGACAGAGCTGTTAGACAGGATCCAGGAAACTTGCAGTTTTGAGATGTCAGGATAAAGTACCTGTTCTGAGAGGGTTCTGATCAGCAGGGGGAAATCTTGTGAGTCTGGAGGCTTGCTGGCAGACTGAGGGCAGAGGCAGAGACTGAGAGCAGGCAGGCAGATTCCAGGGTGAGATTTCAATCTCCAAGGTTTCAGGTAAGTCAGGATCTGTGAGACAGAGACAAACAGGGTCAGACAGGTTTCAGAACAAACAAGGTTCAGATCTGGTAGGTTGGCTCAGGTTTAGATCTACCATTACTGGTAAACACTCTGGCAGGGGAGTGTCAGTCTCCTCCTCCTTAAGTAGGAGTCCTCTTGATGAGGAGACAGGAAACAGGTGTGTGGAGGTGAGCTCATACCCTCAGCAGGAAGATCTTCGGCGCCCTCTGGTGGACAAGCCTCCGGATCCCAACATGAACATTATTGGAGGGGATGTTAGAAGCATTTCTCCTTTGTCATTCTGTAATAGATTTACTTTTGATTTTTTTTATAAGGTTATTGTGACAATAACAAGACAAATGACTGCAGACTACCAAATGGTGCGATCCATCCATTTTGCTCCAAGATGGCATATGACTGGCTTACAGTGGATAAAAATAAACCTTACTGCCAAAACCAAACCAAGCCTTCTCCACCCACACCCACACAAGGACCAACAAAACTACCGTGCAACACAACTATTTGTGAAATCATAAAGCACGAGTAAGAATTTAAAACATCTGAAGTACATTTGAAATCCTTCTGCTTAAAGCCCAGAATAACCTGTTTTTCTCACATTTTGGTAAAAAGGATGTTCAAGGATTGCCACAAGAAAATTCCAGCCGACTCATTTTATGAGGCATGTAAATTTGATAATTGCCACATGCCAAACTCCAGCATAGGCTGCACCAGTCTGGAGGCATACGCCTTGATGTGTGCTGAGGCTTCTGTCTGTATAGACTGGAGGAACCTTGCAAAAGGACAGTGTGGTAAGAGTTTTGTCAGGAGAAATACATTGAATACCCTGTGAGATTTTTCACGCATATTGATTTGTTACCGACTCCATTGTTGCAGATTACAAGTGTCCAGAGAATAAAGTCTACAAGCCATGTGGGCCAACTATTGTAGAATCTTGCAATGCAGGGTAAGGACAATGCTTTAAAAAAGGTATACTTGAGGAAAGTAGGCTAAAATGAAAGGACATTATTTTCACATTAGAATTCCTTTCTATCTACCTATTTACCTATCTATCTATCTACATCTATCTATCTACCTATCTATCTATCTATCTTTCATCTCTCTATCTTTCATCTATCTATCTATCTACATCTATCTACCTATCTATATATCTATCAATCTTTCATCTATCTATCTATCTACATCTATCTACCTATCTATATATCTATCTATCTTTCTTCTATCTATCTATCTGTCTGTCTATCTATCTATCTATCTATCTACATCCATCTATCTATCTATCTATCTATCTATCTATCTATCTATCTATCTATCTATCTATCTATCTATCTATCTACATCCATCTATCTATCTATCTATCTTTCATCTCTCTATCTTTCATCTATCTATCTATCTACATCTATCTATCTATCTTTCATCTATCTATCTATCTACATCTATCTACCTATCTATATATCTATCTATCTTTCATCTATCTATCTGTCTGTCTATCTATCTATCTATCTATCTATCTATCTATCTATCTATCTATCTATCATCTATCTATCTATCTATCTATCTATCTATCTATCTATCTATCTATCTATCTATCTATCTATCATCTATCTATGTGTCGATGGACACAGGCAATGCTTCAGAGTTACATGAATTATTTACAAAGTCTATTTCACTATTGTCATAAAATGATGATTTTATATCAGAAATGTTCTACATTTCTACATAAAAAGAGACCAGTGTTCAGAAAGTATGAAGTTTTATATCTAAATGCTTTTTTCTGCCCTGTTTCCTGGTTTATTGATAAGAATAAGATATGATAATAATCTTTGAAGTACGGATTTTGTTTTCATATGTTTTTTTTACATGTTAATGTTTGTTAACTTTTATTTGTTTCATATTTAGATACAATAATAAGCTCAAACAACAGTGTAGAGGAGAAGAAGCCACTTGCAGTGGAATAATGGAAGGATGCTTCTGCCCAGAAGGAACCATTTTGTTTGGTCCAGGCTCTGAAACTTGTGTCTCATCCTGTGAGAATATCTCCAGTTCTTTTTCAGAAAATTTACTTTTTTATAGAAATTGAAAATTCACATGTTATTTCTAATGTTTTATAAGGTTGCACTGGACCTGCTGGAGAACCTAAACAGGTTAATATGACTATTATTATTATTATTATTATTGTTAGATTAGATTATTATTTTTTATTACTTTTAGAATTATCCGACTGATGTAATTTCATTTTTTTTTAACACAGATTGGTGACACATGGAGAAGTAATTGCAAGCAGTGCAGTTGTGACAAGGACACACTGAGTGTTGTGTGTGAGCCTCTAGTGTGCCCTACACCAGAACCCATAACGTGCACAGAGAATGGTGAGGTGTTGGTGAACCGGACAGTGAACTGCTGCCAGGAACTAACATGTGGTGAGTGCATGTGTGCCAAGAGTCTCTATCAACAGGAAAGCTGACAGGCAGAGAGATTTGA